TGGTACTGGACAATAGTATTGTTTATGACCCTCAGACTGTCTTCAGTCTTGACATACAAGGAAGAACAACTGATTAGAACAACTATGTCACCTGGCTAAAGTAGTACAATCAGAAGTAACAGTAGAATCTGGTACAGCCTAGAAATTGACAGTGTGCCAACTACTAATTTGCCATCTTTAACCATATTTTTAGTTATATAACAAATTCTGCAACAGACCAAAAAATTATATACAGTAAATATCCCCTCAATTGAGTGCTTTTACCCTCGGATGAGAAATTTTAAAAGGCATAAGAGGAAAAAAATAGAGAAATAAAAGAGAAAGATGAAAAGCAAGATTAAAAGACAACAGAAGATTACCTAAGCTTTTGGAGACTAGTGAAGAAACAGGGAAAACAAAGAAGGAAAAAAGGAAACCAAAGACTAAACAAAATTTTAAAACAAAACATTTTTCACACTCATAATGAAACAAGAATATACAATCAAAAATAGAGAGATTTCTCTGATTTCAAGCCTATGTTTATCTTCTGGGGTCTATGGTATTGTGCTGGTGACCACTTCAGAGTGTGTCTCTCATGTCACAAATAGACAAAGGAGGCAGACAGAGCCCAGATCCATATTGTGTGATACTAGCAAGCTTGCAGTAGGATTAGGAAAGGGTCCTATATAATCCCAATAAGCCTGGAGTAGGAATAGGATGGGGTGCCAGTTCAACTCCACAGAAATTCAGGCTGATCCTGGTCTGGTTGTGGGCTTGTGACCTGAGTTGTTCAGCTCACAACACTATGGGTATTTTTTGCCAGCTTAACCTTGGCTCCCTGATCCTGGGCCTCCCCCAGGGCTGCACCTCACACAGACACTGGGAGCCTTGAGATGAAGCCAACCCATGACTGCTCCAAGTCCCAGGTTCAGCCAGCCCCACCCCAAAATGGCAGCCAGTCAATTACCCTCTCCTGGGGACATTTGAACAGAGATCACTCACCAGCTCCTCCAGACCTCTGTATCCACTGCTCCACTCCACTGATAGGTTTCTCATGGAGACCTCTAGGTCCTCCACCATCAACACACCTCTATAGACTTAAGCCTCCTCTCTCGTTCCATGAGCCACGAGTTAGGGAGAATGCACAGTTTACCAGTAAGCCAGGAGTCAGGGAAAAAGCACATTTTTCCACCTTCTGCCTTGAAGTCAGTCACCTCACTCTCTCATCAGAACTTTCCTGGGTCTTGGAAGTCCACCTCCCTCCTTCTCTTCCCCCCGTTGCTGTACTCTAGCATCTGGTCTCCCAATCTCAGAGTTTGATTTGCCATTGCTCACCACTGTACCATCTTCCTGGCAGAAAAAAAGAAAGAGAATATGTTTATTTTGGCTCACAGTTTTAGTCTAAATTGTCTGGCTCCAAGGCAGAAATATAATGGCAGAAGTGCATGATGGAAGAAAGTGTGCTCAACTCATAGCAGCCAGGAAGCAGAGAGAGGAGAGAAGAGCCAGGTATGAGAATACTCACTTCCACATCTCACCCCCTTATGACCAGGCCCCACCTCTGGTGTGAAATTTTGAGAGACATTTTTAGATTTAAATCATAACAACCTCATGGGATCCCTGGATCATACATATGGCAGTTCTGTTTTTAGCAACCTCTTACTCTTTTCTTTATATAATAATTTCCCTTCCTACCAACCATGTGTAAGAGTTCCCGTTTCTCCATAGTCTTCATAAGCATTTTTTTTTCTGTCATTTTATAAGAGTTATTCCAACGAGTGAGATGATCCCACAGTGGATTTTGGTTTTCTTTTTTTTTTTTTTTTTTTTTGGTGGTACTGGGGATTAAACCCAGGGCCTTGCACATGGTAGGCAAGTGCTTGCCACTGAGCTGGGTTCTCAGCCTCTCATTGTAGTTTTGATTTGTATTTCCCTAATGACTAATAATGCTGAGCTTTTTTCCTTTTAATTTTTTTTTTTTTTTTGGTTTACATATGTTGGCCATCAAGCCTTCTTTTGAAAATTGTTAAGATCTTTTGCCTCTTTTAAAATCAGATTATTTGGGTTTTTGCTGTTGAATTCTTTGCATTCCTTATGTATTCTGGATATTAATCTCAGGTCAGAGGATACTTTGCAATATTTTTTCCCATATCGGGTTGTCTCTCTACTCTCGTTTCCTTTGTTGTACAGTTGCTTAAGTTTGAAATACAGTAATCCCATTTGTCTAATTATGCTTTGGTTGCCTATGCTTTGGGTATCTTATCTAAGACATCTTTGGCTATGCCACCGTCTAAGACAGTCCCCTTATTTTCTTCTAGTAGTTTCATAGTTTCAGGTCTTAAAAAAAGTCTTTGATCCATTGTTGATAGTTTTTGATGCATGGAAATTTTTAATTCTGATGAAGTCCAACTTACATAATTTTTTGTTTGTCGCTTATATTTTTGATGTTATGTCCAAGAAGTCATTGCTGAATCCACTGTCATAAAGCTTTTCCCCTGTTTTCTTCTAAGAGTTTTATTATTTTTAACTCCTATGTTCAGGTCTTTGATTCTTTTTGAGTTAATTTTTGTACACGGAAAAAGGTAATCATTCAACAACATTCTTTTGCATGTATATTTTAAAAAACTATAGTCATAAAGACCATCTAATAAAATCTCATAATAAAATTCAGAGTTTAGTGAAAATATAAGGACGCTGGCGCCGGGGATTTAGCTCAGTGGTGCCATCGCCTGCCTCGCAAGCACAAGGTCCTGAGTATGATCCCCGGTACCAAAAAAAAAAAAAAAAAAAGGACCCTGAGTTAGATCAATATGAAATAGTTGACTATTAATTTTGCTTTTGTTTTGTTGTCGATAATATTTCTGTAATCATCTTTCCATCTTTCAAGCGAAAGTATTAACTCTTTGTAGTAGATAGAATTATGGCTTCCAGAAAGATATATTTAGGTGCTAAACCCCAGTCTCTTATTTGGAAATAGTGCTTTTGAAGATATAATGTAGTTAAAATGAAGCTGTACTAGCTTAGGGGAGACCCTCAATCCCAGGACAGATTTCAGTATAAAATGAGGGAGATTTGGACATAGAAGACACAAGGAAAAAAGCATCATATGAAAGCAGACTGTAGTAATGCACCTACAGGTTAAGCAACACTGTTATTACCAGTAACCACCTGAACCTAGGAGACGGATGGATTAGATTCTGTTTCAGAATGTCTAGAGGAAACCAGCTCTGCTAACTCCTGAACTTTACACTTTTGGCTTCCAGAACTGTGAGGAAATAAATTTCTGTTGGTTTAAAAGATACCCAATTTCTGGCAGTTTGTTACAGCAGTCCCAGGAAACTCATACAGATTTGGGTACCAGGAAGTAGGTTGCTGCTGTGAGAAACACCTAAAAATATGAAAGTTGCTTTGGAATTGGGTGATGGGTAGAGACTGGAAGAATTCTTACGTACTTGATAGAAAAAGTCTAGATTGTATTGAAGAGATAAGTGGTAGAAGTAAGGACATTAAAGGTGATTATGGTGAAGGCTCAGAAAAAAGAGAAAACTTCTGTTATTTATAGAGCATATATATTTATATATATATTGTCATGAATGCAGTTTCTTTCAATGAGGTCTCAAATGGAATTGAGGAAATATTATTAGACACTAGAGAAAAAGTGGACCTTGTTATAAAGGGGCAGAGAACTTGGCAAAATTATGGTCTCTTGTTGGAAAGAAAAGAGAATATGTAAGAGATGAGCATGGACATTTAGGTAAGGAGATCTCCAAGCAAAGTGTGGAAAGGGCAGGTTAGTTGTCCTTGCTGCTTTCGGTAAAATGTGAAAAGAAAGGGAGAGATCAAAGAACTGGGGGATTTTGGGAGGGAGGGGGTTGTTTGTTTGTTTTTGGCTTCTGGTTTTTTTTGTTTTGTTTTGTTTTTTGGTACTAGGGATTGAACTCAGGACCTTGCGCTTTCGAGGCAGGCAGTGGAACCACTGAGCTAAATCCCCAGCCTGGCTTTTGGTTTTTTGAGACAAGGTGTCACTATGTAGTTCAGGTTGGCCTTGAACTGCAGTCCAGGCTGGCTTTAAACTTCCAGTAAGCCTCCTGCCTCAGCCTCCTGATTGCTGGTATTACACGCGTGTGCCACTGTGCATGCCTTAAAGAAGGAACTATTAAACGGAAAAGAAATCAGAACTGTCATAATTTTGACAGATTTTTAGCCAGTTGAGGTAGTATTCTTTGAAGCCAAGAAAGTGTACACAAGTATAATAACTAGCTAAAGGAATGCTTTTCAATCTTCAAGAGTTTCTCAAACTGTTCTTTCATCCTTTTGTTCTTTGTCATTGTTCCTATTCTTAAGTGGTATATGAAACTGGCTTTTATTTACTTAATTAGTTTGAGGGGAACTTTTATTTACTTACTGTATTAATATTGGAAAATTCAAATGTTTGTTTTTCTGCCACTAGTGATACTTATGAAGTCTTCCTAGGTCAGTGTTAAGATTTCTAATGTTGATTCGTTTCAGTAAATTCTGTTAAAATAATTTCATTTTTTCAAGTGTAGAATTCTTTCCAAATTTGGAAGTAGAGTTTATGTAAATCTGTATTTAATACTCAAAATATTTTTAAATACTCAAAATAGTTTTAAAGTGAGCCCCAGTTTTGAAATTTAGAACTTAACTAGAAATGGCTAGAAAATGGTAAATGTGAGATATTATCACAAAGGGAATTTATAAAGAAAAAACATAAGTTCAAAAAGCCCTCATAGATACAACACCCTGACACAATAATATTTACATTTGCATCTTCCAAATATATACATGAAGTACTTAGTTATCATGATTAATAATTATATATCATTTCTTTTGTGCATTAAATAGGCCACCTTTAAATAGCAGACTACTTCCTGAGAGTGTTTTAAAATATCCAAAACTTGGTGCTCATATCTTTCCAGAATGAAGTTATGGCTGCACAGATGTAAGCCCCTAAAATTATTAGGTTACTTTAATTTTATACCTATTTCATTTTCTTTTTTCAGCACATAAATGCACATCATGCTTATGAATCTCAGATCTCATCAATGGCAAAAGCCATGGCTAGATTAGAAGAAGAACTGAGACATCAAGAAGATGAAAAAGCAACAGTATTAAATGATTTGTCTTCTCTTAGAGAACTTTGCATTAAGCTTGATTCAGGCAAAGATGTTATGACCCAACAGTTGAATTCTAAAAACCTTGAGTTGGAGAGGGTAAGAACTAGAGAAATTATGTTTGTACCTTGTTTTATCAAGTCCTACTGTTTTACTTTACCATTCTCTACCCAATATATTTATTCTCCTTTAGGATAGCCTCTTGACTACAGGCTTTTGACAATCAAATTTGACTACAGATTCCTTGCCAAGATTTGTCTAGCAATAGCAGTGATAAAATTAGGTGCTCTGTGTTTTGGAATAGATGGATATTTAAGAGATTATGGACTTGACAATTATATATTAGGAGCATACCCTCTACATTCTCTCTGTTTAAAAGTAAGGCTTGAATGAAAAATTAAACTGTTCATTGCTTCCTAAGTAGAATATTTTTCCTGATAAAAACCTCAAGGCATTTAAATTTTATATAAGTGAATCTACTATGCTGGAGCTTCCCATTAAACAGAGGCATTACTACTTAAACCAGCTAGTGTATGTTTTCAAACATGAGTATTTTCAGTTGTCATTCATCTAGTGGTGTGTTTTCAGGAACTGAGAAGCTACAATACTGGCTTGACTATGTAGTTAGAGTGAGCAGGATTAAGAAACCAGAGCACCTCATTGCTATAGAGTGGCCACATTTTAGGATTTAATGTTAACAAGGTGGCATGAGTGAAAAAGTATTTGAGGATTAGAATATGTCTTGTAGCCAAATAAGGCCTTAGTAAAAGTAGCACAGCTCATTTTGAAAACAAGATGTTTTTCTTATAATTAAGGAAATTGTTGAAAATCATTACTTAATACCAGTATTCAAAATGAAGCAACTGATGGGTAAGTAGCTCTACAGAACTATATTGTCAGGTAAATAATTTCTCAGAGTGGGTCTAAAATGGCACTAAATTAGTCTTTGTTTTTCCTGTAGGCACTGGTAGAATTAGAAAATGTAAAATCAGAATCAGAACTATTAAAAAAACAACTGTCAAGTGAGAGATGCACAATTAAAAACCTTGAATCATTGTTGGCTACAAATAGAGATAAAGAATTTCATTCTCATTTAACCTCGCATGAGAAGGATACAGAAATTCAGCTACTTAAGGAGAAGTTAACCCTTTCAGAAAGCAAATTGTAAGTGTCATAAATCAACCAAGGCAAAGAAAATAGCTTATCAAAGATAGCTTTTTTATTTTGGGGGAGAACGGGGAAATGAAGGGTGGTATAGACCCAAAATATTTGTTTTATGTGTCTGCTGCTTTTAGAAATTCAGAGGACTAGCTCAGGGGAGAGAGACATTGCGTTTGGAGATGTGGACTTGTACATCTTCACTGAGGTGGTGCCACGAGAGCAGGGGAGTGGTCACTAGGAGAAGTTCGCTTTGGAGGAATGGTCAGCTCAATGATGATGTCATCTGAGAATAGAGAGGTTTGGGAGTATTTGTGGGAAGAGAAAAGGAAACCAAAGTAGATACCACAAATGAAAGAATAGGCTTTTTAAAGGGGTTTAAAACTCTTTCTGAGGCAAGAATCAAGAAAGAACCAGTGAAGGTATTTTACATCTTAGTATCTAGTTCCTGTGTTCACATTTGTATCCCTGTGCTGCTGCTGAGCCTGGCACATATTAGAAGCTCAGTAAATGATAAGTAAACCAGATGAATGAGAAAGAAAACCATGATAGAAACTCTAGAATTTTAGAAACTTACTATGGAAAAGTCTTTGTACCCATATGTATCACCTCTATTTGTATTTGTTAACAAAATCCATAGCACTTGACTCTACAAAAGGGAACATTTGTGATTTATTTCTGTTACTTGTTTTTAAGAACTAGTCAAAGCAGAGAAAACACCATGCTTCGAGCTAAAGTGGGACAGTTACACACAGATTATGATGCTCTAAAAAGGCAAATTTCAACGGAGAGATATGAACGGTAAGAAAAGAATTTGTAGCATTGAACATTCTTTTTATGTAGTTTCTATCCTGTTCTAAAAAGGATTTAGTATGGCTTGTAAATAACAAACTTACTCTTAGCATTAATATGTAAAATAAAATTTTTTGGTAATTTGTAAAAAGCCAACAAGTAGCCAGGTACTGTGGCACGAGCCCTGTAATCTCAGCTACTTGGAGGCTGAGGCAGGAGGATTGCAAATTTGAAGTCAGCCTGGATAACTTAGTGAGCCTTTGTCCCCAAAAGTACTAATGGCTGGAGATATAGCTCAATAGTAGAGCACCCTGGGTTTAATCCCTAGTACTGAAAAAAGAGGGAGTGGTCCAACAAGTATTGTGGAAGATTACATCCCTATAGTAAATAGCACATGTTTATAAATGGCTTCTGTACCATTCCACAAGGCTAAATTAGAGCATTATTTCAGAGGTTATAGATAGGGAATCAACAACAGTCCCTACAAGAGTCCCCAAAAATACGGTCCAAATTGTAAGCCCAGATGATCAGAAAGGCAGTGTTAATGATCATCAGCAGAAGAGCGATTAACAGCTGGGGATTTAGCTCAGTGGTTCTGGCGCCTGCCGTGCAAGCCCAAGGTCCCGAGTTCTATCCCCGGTACCAAAAAAAAAAAAAGCAACAAGCGCAATTAACAAATACGCGCTGAACACCAGGTATGTGTCTGATTAATCCTATCAACAATCTCTTATGCCTACATTATAGGAAATTGAGGTCACACAATTGTGAGTGCCAGAGTCAAGACTAAACCTAGACATGTCTGTCTCTAAAGGCTGTGCTCTTAATCTTTACAGTACATTTCCTATATCTTAATAATTTTCATACTCACATTTCACTTTGTTTGCCTTTGAAACTTTTAATCCCTAAGTTTTACAAACACAAATGAGACCTGCTTTAAGAAATAAAGTAAATGTAAATCAGTTGCCAATTGCCAAGTTACCTACCTCCCTACCTTCCTTTCCTTTCTCTTTTTTCTCTGTCTCTCTCCCCCTCTTCCTTCCTTTCTTTCTTTCTTCTTTTTTATATTGGGGATTGAATCCAGGGCCTTGAACTGAACTACATCCCCACCCCTTTTCAAAAATATTTTATTTTGAGACAAGTCTACCTAGGTTGCCCATGTTGGCCTCAGACTTTGTGGTCCTCCTACCTCAAACTCCGAAGAAGCTGGAATTACTAGTGCACATTGCTGTACCCAGTTTACACTGATTTACTTTCTAACTGTATTAATACCATAGCATCCTGAGCTTTTATTCTCAAATAGTGGTAAAACTGCTTATTAGGTTAGTTTTTTAGTTCTCTTATTCTGTCTTTTTATATCAAAACTTTTAATTGACATGCTATTTAAAGTAGAGGGGAAATCTGTTATAAAATCAGCATTTATGATTTCATAGAGAGAGGAAGCCTTTCATGTCACTTATTTCATGTCACAGCAGTGACATGAAAGCAGTGTCATCAATTTCTTGTAATTTAGAAGATCTGGTCCCTGAATATGCTAAACTGTACATATATAATAATTTCCATCTCTCAGTGATACCTTAAATTCTCTGTAGTTCAAGGATCCTAGTCTAGTCCTCTGTGGTAGCCCAGGCCATAGGCCCCCGCTTAGTTCCTACCCTTTTCCTTACCCTTGGCCCTCAAAGAAACTTTCAGCCACTGGACCATGACATTTCTGCTCCTGCTGTCCAACAAGTTATACATTCTCACAGGGCAATGTCACTCTACCTTCAGGGGACAAAATTGTTCTTCGAGGAGAGGGAAAGAGGTAGCAAGAAAAGTAAAATCCTAAATTTTACATATATATAAACTATTATAAATATATCTTATGTATATAAACTATAATAATAGTTTATCATAGTAAACTATTGTATCACCTAAGATACAATAGTGATACAAGTTTATGGCTCTCCTATAACAGGCCAGAGTTCATAATAGTGTTTCTGCATGTTAAAATTTTGTTGGGTGGCATGATAATCTGAGAGGGGAAATTCTATTGGAGAATAATTTCTATTGGAGAATAATAACAAAAAAAGTTTGAGAAACATTGAACTAAGTAGAAATCCTAGATACTGAAGAACTCAAGGCACCAGGGCCAGGAAGAAAACAGCAAATGAGATGGCAGCATACTCACTTTACGTGATGCGGCAGACCCAGACACAAGAAGGAAGATGTAATAGAGTGACTCCTTCCATTTAGACATGTGGGAGTTTTTAGGCAGGAAGAAGGAGGGCCAGGTTGGGTGCAGTAAGAGATGAGAAAGAAAGAGGTAGAGGAAGGAACCAACCAGTTTAGAAACTCTTTACTCAGAGAGCCAACAAATCATTAATTATTACTGGAAACTCATTATGAGGATACACATACACATCCTACAATAGTGTGTAACCAGGGGTAGAGGTCAGTGAGGGGTTTCATTGGCATGCTAGAGGATGGAACGTACTTTAGCCTGGAATTACTAAACAAAAGTAATTTAGGGTACATTGGGTACCCCTGGGAGGTCCAACAGAAATCTTTATATGGGCCTGGAGCACAGGACAGGACCAAAGATGTGGACTTGGGAGTCATTGGTACCTAAAAGCATAGCCATTGGCTCATACAAGGAGAACATGACCTAGTCCTGGAGAACACCACAGTAAGGAATGTAGGCCCAGAGAAGGGTCTGGTAGAAGATCTAAGAGATGGTTGTATTAACAGAAGGAGACCCAAGAGGTGGTAGGTCAGAGAAGCTAAGCGAGGTTAATAGAAGCAAATCCCACAGAAATCTCAAGGTAAGCAACTTGATTGTTAACAGAGACATTTAGTTTTTAAGAATACATTAATTGGGCTGGGGATTTAGCCCAGTGGTTCCATCGCCTGCCTCGCAAGCGCAAGGACCCGAGTTCGATCCCCGGTACCAAAAAAAAAAAATACATTAATAGTCTTGTATTTTTTTAAGTATAAAAAAGAAAATTATGAGTTCTCCAAGCGTCATTTTTAACATTCTCAGTCTAACATCTAGTCCTATGTTTATATCTGCATTTGTCTGAATGTATACTTGGCATCCTACTTTTTTCACTAAATATATTGTGTGCATCTTGTTTCTAAAATATTATTTTAGGGCCAGCGATTTAGCTCAGTGGCGCCACACCTGCCTGGCAAGCGCAAGGTCCTGAGTTTGATCCCCGGTACTGAAAAAAAATAAAATATTATTTTAATGATGTCCTACTGGTCTGACATGGTTATAGTATAACTGCTTTGAACAGTTTCTTATAATGCGTATTTTAAATTGAAATATGTTACACACTACTCAAAAATTCTACAAAGATATACAGTTTTAATTTAGTAAAAATACTAGACTGGGCATGACTGCACACACCTGTAGTCCTAGCTACTTGGGAGGCTGAGGTAGGAGGATCACTTGATCACCATGGGCAACATAGACCCTGTCTCAAAATAAATTTGGTTAAAAATACTAATTAGTTTCGTAGACATTAATTAAGAGCACTAACAGCACTTTATATTAGTATGCCACTTTCTGGTTTTTCATTATACCTGTATCTAATCTCTCTTATTTAATCTTTACCAACAGAGAACGAGCAATCCAAGAGATGCGTCGACATGGTCTTCCTACATCTCCCCTTAGTTCTACTCTGAAGTCTCCTTCACATTCTCCAGAACATAAAGAGGTATATGTGTAACACCACAAACAGCCAAATCTGGTGTATGGTTACAAAGTCTCAGGCCATAGCATTCTGTGTCAGGGGAGGAGAGATCCCTTGGAAAGGTGTTCAGGGGAACTTTCTTGAGCAATGGCAGTGATCTGAATTTTGGTGGTGGTGGTTACATGAGCATATACAACTGTAAAAGCTCACCAACCTGAACATTTATGATACATGGATCTCATTGTATGGAAATTAAACCTGAATTAAAAGGAGGGAGAGTTGGATTAAACCTGAATTAACAGGAGAGAGGATTGGGAATATATCTCAGTGGTGCAGTCCTTGCTTAGCAGCCACAAGATCCTGGGTTCAATCCCCAGCACTGGAAAATAATGAAAAGAGAGAGAGAAGATGGGCACAGCAAACATTAAGTTATAATATGATATATCACAGGGTGTGTTCTGTGGAGTACCAAATTCCAGATTCAAATAATAGGCAGTAAAAGCTTAAACAAATGCACAGTAGATTCCTTTTGGCAGGAGTGGCAGGCTTCAGAATAATGAGGGAAGGAGAAGGTAGAATTGGTGTGTGTAAAGTATATTGAATATGAGGCTAAAATAGATTGTAGACTGTTCTGTAAGTCAAGGGGAGCCCTTGAAGGGCCTCCTTTGTATAGGATGGATACAAAGACTGAGTTAAGATGAAAGAATCATTTCTGGGAGATTAACAGCACAACTGTGTTCTAGCCGTATTGGAAAGGGTAGGAACCAGAGTTAGAGGGACAAGATGTTTGAAATGAATAGTATAATCAGTTTAGAATCAGTATAATAATACTGAAAACTATGGCAGGTTTTTAAAAGTAAGTTATACTTACAAAATGGTGCCATGTAATAGGTGTATAGCTCGCTGCACTTTCAAACTGAACACATCTAGCCAACAGGCACTCAGAGCAAGAAATGAAATATTTCTTCTCTTGGGTTTCCTTCTAGCCACAAGCCCTGCTTTAAAAGTAAATGTCTTCTCTGTTAAAAGCATAGATTTTTTTAAATGTTTCTGGACATTTTATAAATGAAACACATTTGTGAGAGCCATCCATACTGCTGTGTGTACTTGCAGATCATTTGGCCCTATGGCTGCACAACGTGAGCTTGCCACAATCCCTGTGCTCCCTCTGCTGTGGACAGGCCTTCAGTAGTTCGCAGGTGGGCTCCTGCGTACCAGTAGTATTCTAGGTTACAGTAGGCCTGAAATTGCTGGGTCATAGATATGCATATGCTCAAGTTTTAGTAGATACGGCAAAGTATTTTCTAAAGAAGTTGCATTTGGCCAAGGACGGATCAAGGGGTGTGCTGATTAATGGAGGTGGGAAGTAATGGGAAAGAAGCGTGAGTCAGACCCAGCATTTGACGGTAATGACTGTGAAAACTACAGACTCATTGACAAAAATAGTTGAGCCAGTCTTTTTTAAATGGATGCATTTCTTAGCCTCTTTTAATAGAATTAGTGACCACAGAAGATAATTAACATTTCCTCAGTGACTTAGAATCCTCATTATGAACATTAGTTATGTTGTGCGTTAACACACTGATGGTCCACGTTCATAGGGGCTAAATTTAAATGATTCCTGGTGGATGTGCTTTCATGTTACATTTGTCTGATTGAAATGTTTATTTTCCTTTTTCACCTTGAGGACCACTTTCCAGTGCTTGCTGTAATCACTGTGTCCTCACAACTTCTAAGTTGCTGTGCTATTTTGAATGTGATGAGGTTGCTTCACCTTCTTGTAATAAAGCCTTGTAACAGTGTGACAGATATTTTCTCATGCTTAATTCACAGATGCAGTTTAGATCAGAGGTTGGTGACCTAGGGTCTGCAGGCCAAATCCACCTTACTGATTGCTTTTGTAATGAGCTTAACTGCAGCACAACCACAATTTACATTCCCTTAAAACTGCTTTTCTTCAGTGGCAGAGCTGAATAGTTAAGATAGACCCTGTGGCCTGCATATCTAAAATATTTACTCTCAGATCTTTTGTATCATGTAGCCTCTGGAAAACTCAGCTGTAACCCTTGAGAAAACAAGAGTGAAGAGGCAAATAATTATTTGGCTTTATAAAAATGTGCTTGAGCTGGGTGTGGTGGCTCCAGCACTCAGGAGGCTCACTGGAGGATCACTGCGAGTTCAAGGCCAGCCTGGGCTACATAGTGAGTTCAGAGCCAGTCTGAACTACAAAGCGAGGCCCTGTCTCAAAAAAAAGAAAAAAACTTGACCTTTTAGCCTCCCTAACCAGGTCTTATGAAATCTCAGGGATCCCATCCCCATATTATACTGTCATGTTTTATGGGGAGGGTGTTTTGTTTGGGGCTGATTTTGTTTTGTATTTGTTTGTTTTGAGACAGGGTCTCGCTTTGTAGCCCAGGCTAGCCTCAAATCTTCTGTCTTTCTGCCTCACCTTCCTGTGTGCTAGGATGACAGGGGTGCTCAGCTCCCAGACTGTTGGTTTTGTTGCTGTTGTCATTGTTGTTCTTGTTGTTTAGTTTTCTGAGACAGGATCTCACCATGTAGCCCAGGCTGGCCTTGAACTCACAGCAAATCTGCCTCTTCCTCCCAAGTGCTGGGATTACATGTGTGCACCACCATGCCTGGCTCCCAAACTTTTTAAAAAATCACTGAAGTACAGTACAGTGCCACATGCCTGTGATCCCAGCTACTCAGGAGGCTGAAGCAGGAGGATGGCAAGTTCAAGGCCAGCCTGAGCAACTTGCTGAGATCCTCTCTCAAAATAAAAAATAAAAATGGCTGTAGCTGTAGCTCAGTGGTAGAGCAGCCCTAGGTTTGATCCCCAGTACCACAAAAAATAAATAAAAGTAAGAGTCACTGATATGATACCTGGGAATCAACCTAACAAAAGAAAGCAAAGACCTCTTTTCTGAAAACTATAGCGCTCTGAAAAGAAAGATTGAAGATGATATCAGAAAATGAGAAGACATCCCGTGCTCCTGGGTAGGAAGAATCAA